ACTACGTGATTTCATCCCTCATTCTTTACCCAAAGCAAGTCTAAAATAGCCCAGCTCTTGTTGATTCAGTGACTACTTGGCAGAGAGAGTTATTGCTGTTTTGCTTATACTGTATCTTATCATATCATATCATATATTATATTATATTTGCCTTTTAAGCCTGAATGTTGCACTTTCATGGCACTTTTGATCTRTTCTTGCCTGGTTTAGGTGGCTCTGCAGTGTGGTGGCGAAATACCAGACTTGCTCTGCCAGGGGTTTGGTGGCCCCCGCTGYGCTGGGCGAGGACCATCCCACACCAGGATGTCCTTGTTTCCTGAAGGCGCGTCCAGGAGGAGGCAGGAAGCTGGTTTCCTCTCTCTGTTTGGATCCTTCCTCCCCAGCACGTCGCAGCGGGACAGAGGCGAACAGCTCCAGAACAGCGTGGGCCTCCCTTGACCACCCCACGTCCCCTGCCACCTGCGCCCATGCCTGTGTCACCCCCCTGCGTCACCCGCCGCCCCTCCACGGCATCAGGTGGGGCATGGCTGCAGTTYGGCCCAAATCCCCACCACTTTGGTGACATTCACAGGCTTGGCACCGCTGTGCCCAGCTCCACTCCATCAGTCCCCAGCCCCAGCCTATGTAAGCGAGTGTGCCCAGGCCTGGGGGCCCAGCTGGGCCCAGCTGCAGGGTGTCCTTGTCCCTTCATCCCCTCCCRCGGGTCACCTCTGATGCAGCTGCCGCAGGTGGCACTTGCTGTGGGGCGGCACGTTGGGGATGACGGTTTCTCTTGCCCTGTGTGGAGCAGGTTGGGCTCAGCACCCGGCGCTCAGCGGGGCCGGGCGCCCGAGGCAGCTCTTCCTGTGGCTGCACTTCCAGCCCGGCCTTATCCGGGCGGCTGCGGGGTTTGCGTGGCCCGGGGTTTGCACTGGCTGGACTCCAGCGCCACCGGCTGTGTTGATGGACCCGCTCTGTCCTCCAGCAGCTTCCACAACCCTAAGCGCTCCCCAGCCGTCCCCGGGATCTGCACAGATCTGTAAATTCCCCATCCGGGTGCTGGGTGCAGCCATTGGGCTCACCTCGTTCAGGCTGCGCACAAGGGAGCTGCGGGATCCGCTGGCTCCAGAGCAACTTCTGCCGGAGCTCCGCAACCTTCAGCATCCAGCCAAGTCCCTAAGGAAAAGGGGACAAGAGCCATAAGACACAGGACTTCCCTCCTCGGCAACGCTCGGCCGCTGCCACCATCTCAATGTGCCCATTGACAGTGGGAATGACGGTGGGAATGTTACTGTGTGCCGCTCRCTCCATCGCCCTCTCATCTCGGTTTCGCTTCCCCTCCGGAGCCGAGCCCAGGTTTGGAGCCTGTGGCATCCGACTCGCTCTGACCTTTCGGGCAAAGACAGGAAAGGCCGCGGGGGTCCGAGCACACAGAGGCCCCTTCTCCAYGCAGCGCCCCGGAGCCCTGGCCGCTGGGGACCCGGGTCAGGGAGAGGCAGTGGGAGCTTCCCGGCAGGAACAGCTCTCCCATTGACTCCTGGCAGAAGGGCTCTCTGTGCTGCGCCTGGCAGGGGCAAGGCTGTTCCCRACACACAATCGCGCCATTCAGGCGACGCGGGGCCCGCGGGTCAGAGCTTCCCGCGGCGGCGGCAGGGCCAAGCGGAGCATCCCTGCTCCCGGAAGGGCAGCCTGGTCCCAGGGGATGAGGAYGAGGCGGGAGGCAGGGGGACACTGATGAAGGTGGCTGCCGGGCGGAGCACCCATGGGTGGCACCGTGAGCTCTGCAACCCGACTCTGTAAAGTGGGATGGGTTGGGTATTAATCCGACTCAAGGAGGAAAGAGGAGGCCGGATGCAGGAGAAGGGGAAGGAAGAGCCCCACGGGGGACAGCGGGTCGGGATCCCGGGGTGTCCCTGGAGCCCCCGGAGCCTCCGGGGCCCCGGGCGCGGCAGCAGGAGCCGCCCCGGGACGCGGCTCCGTCCCCGGGAGCAGCGGCCGCCGCGGCCGAGAGAGGGCGGTGGCGGCCCGGGAAGCGGCGGGAGCGGCCCGGGAAGCGGCGGGAGCGGCCCGGGAAGCGGCGGGAGTGGCCCGGGAAGCGGCGGGAGCGGCCGGTGGCACCGAGGGGACCGGGCGCCAGGG